AAAAAAAAAAAACGAAATTTGATGGAAAACTGATGGAATTATGCTCTCGCGAAGTTAGCAACCTTGGCGATATTTACAAATCGGCGATTTCGCCCACTTTGAGCCCTATTTTCAGCTAATTCCTTTGTTCCTGTCGACCAAACTCATAGCTATTTCTTTAGAACTCCATTTTTTCTATCGAATGAGTACAAGAAATTGCCCATTTGCTGATTTCAACTAACCAATAATGTGGTCAGAAATTTGCAATTTGGCCAATTTCACGAAAATTAAAAAATATGATAATTTCAAAATAAGGTCCAGAATGAACAATGCAGACATTCCTGGCTCTAAAATAACATATTCTTTGTTCATCAGTCATGTCTCCAGGCCCCTCTGATATTACTCTTGCTTTCTATTTTGAATTTTTATTCAAACAAAAAATAGAAGACTTACTAATATGCAGACTACTCCAATACTGTAATAATTGTATAAATAACATCAACCCATTCATGACTGCATATTAGAATGGCTAGTTGGACATTTATTGGACAATGACATCATTTGTTTACTTTTGAACATTGGCAAAAATCAAACATTTCCCCTCCTTTGAGCTCCATTTCCAGGTTCTTTTATAGTAAAATCAATCAAAATCACTATTTCTATAATATGTTTTCCATTCTATCAAATGAGACCAAGAAAACGAGAATACAACCATAAATACTATACGAAAAAAGACCACAAAGTCGGCATTTTAAATAAAAAAACGGTCGGAGTTTTTTTTTTCTCATTATGCACTGCATGCTCCAGGATTTTTTTTATATGGTGCACACTGACCACACAGACCCATTCTCTCACATGTGGGCCTACCAGCTTTCTCCTGCTTGATTTCAAGCCGCTAGAATTTATGAGTATATATACGTCAAACACGGTACTTCGTAAGACGTATATATACGGCCGCGACAGTCAAAGGGTTAAGGATAATACAGTACTTTTTAATTAAACAAAAAAATGTTCCAGACAAACCAAAGAATATCAATAAAGAGAATTTATTAATGCTTAACTGAGATACAGTGTTTTCATTAGAGTAATAATTACCACAGCTCATTTTTAATGATTTGCAGAAGAAATTCTGTTTAATGCTTTTTTTTTTTTTTTTCAACAAGTCGGCCGTCTCCCACCGAGGCAGGGTGACCCAAAAAAGAAAGAAAATCCCCAAAAAGAAAATACTTTCATCATCATTCAACACTTTCACCACACTCGTACATTATCACTGTTTTTGCAGAGGTGCTCAGAATACAACAGTTTAGAAGCATACACATATAAAGATACACAACATATCCCTCCAAACTGCCAATATCCCAAACCCCTCCTTTAAAGTGCAGGCATTGTACTTCCCATTTCCAGGACTCAAGTCCAACTATATGAAAATAACCGGTTTCCCTGAATCCCTTCACTAATATTACCCTGCTCACACTCCAACAGATCGTCAGGTCCCAAGTACCATTCGTCTCCATTCACTCCTATCTAACACGCTCACGCACACTTGCTGGAAGTCCAAGCCCCTTGCCCACAAAACCTCCTTTACCCCCTCTCTCCAACCCTTTCGAGGACGACCCCTACCCCCCCCCCCCTCCCCCTATAGATTTATATGCTTTCCATGTCATTCTACTTTTGATCATTCTCTCTAAATGGACCCAAACCACCTCAACAACCCCAATTCTGCCCATCTGACTAATACTTTTATTAACTCACATCTTTTCCTAATTTCCACCACTCCCGAATTTTCTGCATAATATTTACACCACACAGTTGCCCTTTAAACAGGACATCTCCACTGCTCCAACCATTCCTCGCTGCTGCATTACCACCCATGCTTCACACCCATATGAGAGTGTTGGTACTACTATACTGTCATACCTTCACCTTTTTGCCTCCATAGATAACGGTTTTTTGAATCAACGTATACCTCAGCGGCACCACTCACTTTTTTCTCTCATCAATTCTTTGATGAACCTCATCCTTCATAAATCCATTCCGTCCGGACCATCAACTCCCAAGTATCTGAATACATTTCAATTCTTCATTCATCTCCTCCCAATTTGATATCCAATTTTTTTTTATCTTAATCATTTGACACCCTCATCACCTTTACTCTTTTTTTCTCAAATGTTACACTTCTCAACTTTCTACCTTTACACACATCTCACAACTCATCCACTAACCTTTGCAATTTTTCTTTAGAATCTCACATAAGCACATTTCATCAGCAAAAAGTAACCGTGTAAATTCCCCATTTTGAATTTGATTCCCAAAATTTAACCCCACCCTCTCCGAACACCCTTGCATTTACTTCCTTTAAAACCCCCCACTATAAAAAATTAAAACAACCAGGGTGACATTACACATCCTGTCTAAGCCCTACTTTTACTGGGAAGTATTTCCCCTCTCTTTACCACCCAAACCTGAGCCCACTACCTCAAAAACCTTTAAGTTTTATAATTTAAAACCCCTTTCCCCATATACTTGCAACATCCCACATTGTCCTCTTCCACTCTACATTCCCCTTTTCTAAACCCATAAATCAATAAAATTTCCCCTACCTTTAATTAAAATTTACTTTTCCCCAATATATGCTTAAAATGTAAACACTTGATCTACACATCCCTACCCACTCTGAAACTCCTTGCTCACCCGCAATCCTACTTTGTCTTGCCTCAAATTTCTTTCAATTATAACCCTACCATACACTTTTCCGGGTTATCAGTAAACTTATTCTCTAAAATTTTTACAGTTCTTTTGTCCCCTTTCCCCTTTATTAAAGGGCTATACATGCTCTCTGCCAATCCCTGGGTACCCCCCCTCTTTCATACATTTATTAAAAAAAATCCAAACCACTCCAACCAACCCCCCCGCTTTTAACATTTCTGTCATGATGCCACATTTTCCAGCGCTTTACCCCCTTTCATTTTAGTAAAGCCTCACGTAAAACCCCCCCCACACTTACATTCTGTTTCTTCACTCCTAAAAGAGGGATACCTCCTGACCAGTGCATGAAATTCGCCCCTTTTTTCTTTCCTTAAAATTTAAAAGTCCTAAAAATTCTCGCCATTCCTAATACCCCATCCCCCATCACTAACTCCCTACTTGTTTTTTTAATGAAAATCCATACTTTCCCTAGGCTTTTTTTAACTTTTTTAACTCCTCCAAAATTTTTTTTTTATTTTCATTAAAATTTCTGACAGTGCCTCTCCCCCCTCATATCTGCTTCCTTTTGACTCCTCACCCCCCTCTACTTTCTTTTACTCTCCATATACTTGCTCTTTTTATAACACTTCTGCTTTGTAAAAAACCTCTCATAAGCTACCTTTTTCTCTTTTATCACACCCTTTACTTCATCATTCCACCAATCACTCCTCTTTCCTCCTGCCCCCACCCTCCTATAACCACAAACTTCTGCCCCACATTCTAATACTGCATTTTAAAACTATTCCAACCCTCTTCAACCCCCCCCACTACTCATCTTTGCACTAGCCCACCTTTCTGCCAATAGTCGCTTATATCTCACCCGAACTTCCTCCTCCCTTAGTTTATACATTTTCACCTCCCTCTTACTTGTTGTTGCCACCTTCCTCTTTTCCCATCTACCTCTTACTCTAACTGTAGCTACAACTAAATAATGATCTGATATATCAGTTGCCCCTCTATAAACATGTACATCCTGGAGCCTACCCATCAACCTTTTATCCACCAATACATAATCTAATAAACTACTTTCATTATGTGCTACATCATACCTTGTATATTTATTTATCCTCTTTTTCATAAAATATGTATTACTTATTACCAAATCTCTTTCTACACATTGCTCAATTAAAGGCTCCCCATTTACATTTACCCCTGGCACCCCAAATTTACCTACTACTCCCTCCGTAACATTTTTACCCACTTTAGCATTGAAATCCCCAACCACCATTACTCTCACACTTGATTCAAAATGCATTCACTCAACATTTCCCAAAATCTCTCTCTCTCCTCTACACCTCTCTCTTCTCCAGGTGCATACACTCTTATTATAACCCACTTTTCACATCCAATCTTTATTTTACTCCACATAATCCTTGAATTAATACATTTATAGTCCCTCTTTTCCTGCCATAGCTTATCCTTCAACATTATTGCTACTCCTTCTTTAGCTTTAACTCTATTTGAAACCCCTGACCTAATCCCATTTATTCCTCTCCACTGAAACTCTCCCACCCCCTTCAGCTTTGTTTCACTTAAAGCCAGGACATCCAGGTTCTTCTCATTCATAACATCCACAATCATCTCTTTCTTATCATCTGCACAACATCCACGCACATTCAGACTTCCCACTTTGACAATTTTCTTCTTCTTATTCTTTTTAGTAATCTTTACAGGAAAAGGGGTTACTAGCCCATTGTTCCCGGCATTTTAGTTGACTTTTACAACACGCATGGCTTACGGAGGAAAGATTCTTATTCCACTTCCCCATGGATATAAAAGGAAAAGTAATAAAACCAAGAACTATTAAGATGAAATCAAAGAAAACTCAGATGAGTGTGTATAAATAAATGTGGGGGGGTCATTGTGCTAAGCGGGGGGGTCATTGTGCTAATCTGGGGGGGGGGGGACATGGACCTGCTCCGCATGGGTCAGTAGACCTGTTGCAGCGTTCCTTCTTTCTTATGTTAGACATCAGCAATCCTACCATTATGTAAAACAATCACAGGCTTTCCTTTTACACTCGCTTGGCAGGACGGTAGTACCTCCCTGGGTGGTTGCTGTCTACCAACCTACTACCTTATTCTGGTAAAAATCTACACAAGAGTTGGTACTAGTTAAAATCAGCATAATGGTACATCATACATAAAGATTAAATTCAAGTACATTAGCAATAATCCACTTTTTATTTACTGTTCATCATACCTCACTTGTTTGGTTAGAGTAGCATGTAAAAAAAAAAAAAAATTATATTTGAATACTATTGTTTTGGTACTTACATATCTAGATTTTTCCTCAATATTTGCATCATTCATTTTATCTGGTATAATGCTAGTCCCGTTAGCTTCTGGAGAAAAGGGTTTTGGTAACTGGCCTCTGAATTCACTTTGAACAAACTGAAGGTTCCAACTGAAAATATAAAATTTTATGCTTAGTTTTCATCATCATGCTCAGCAAGACAGATGTGTGGTCTTCCAAAACTTTAAAATGAAATTATAGTACTGTATATTCTTGGTCCAAGGGCAATAGGAGGGGTGGGATTACCAAAACTATCTAGAGGGCTGAGGAGAGGTTGTTGAGGTGGTTTGAACATGTAGAGAGGCTGGAACAAAGTAGAATGACTTCGAGAGTGTATAAATCTGTAGTGGAGGGAAGGCAGGGTAGGGGTCGGCTTAGGAAATGTTGGAGGGAGTAGGTAAAGGAGGTTTTGTGTGCGAGGGGCTTTGACTTCCAACATGCGTGAGCGTTTTAGATAGGAGTGAATGAAGATAAATGGTTTTTAGGACTTGATGTGCTGTTGGAGTGTGAGCAAGGTTATTTGTGTATTGCAGTTTTGTAAGTGTAGTGTAAGCACACCTCTGGCATGACAGTGATAAAGTGAATGATGATGAAAGTTCTTCTGTTTTGGGCCACCCTGCCTTGTAGATGAATGGTTCACCGAACCGACTAGTTGATAAATTAGACACATGTGCAACACTTGGGTATCTTTAATGAGGAAAGGTTTTGCCACACAGTGGCTTCATCAGTCCACACAAAGGAGAATGGTGAAGAACAGGAGGATCTTAATACAGAGAATTCTTCATTTGCCTAACCCTTGGGCATGACCTACTTTCACATCGGACAAATGTGATACCACCTACGACTGCCGCACCTCTCCTGCCTATGGTATATAAGCTACTTCTCCACACATATGCTGTATTCTTTCAAGATTGATGGACTGACTACATCGACTCAAGGCTGAGGGACTGATTACCTCAAACTCCTCCTGTTCTTCACCATTCTCCTTTGTATGGACTGATGAAGCCACTGTGTGGCAAAACATTTCCTCATTAAAGATACCCAAGTGTTGCATGTGTCTAATTTATCACCCTGCCTTGGTGGGAGAAGGCCGATGTGTTAATAAATAAAATAATAAATAAAGTCAATTACTAAACAAAGTAAATATTACTCTCAAATCTGTCCTCAAGCTGCATCCCTAAAAACATTAATATTACAATAAAACATTGGCAAACAACATGTGTTCCCTATACCACATAATTAACAGTGGAATTCTGATTCAAAGAACCATATGAATTTCCAGATGAGAAATTTATAACTTGTCTCAATCTGGGCAGAAAACTTTGAAAAAACTTCAGGCTGAGGCTGAACACATGATTCTAATTGATACTGGGGCTGCATTGGTCTCAATTTGAAAATTTGATTACATTAGACTGTTGGTTAACACAAGATCTGTTGACACTTTCACTTTAACATAGTTGCAAAATTGCATCATATTTCAGCGAACAAGCCGTATTAATTAGTTTATACAGCAGAGTACACATAGGGGAAAATGTGGCACGTGGCAGGTTCTTTTCCCCTCCCTCTCGTTGTGAGCATACAGGCGAGTCCATTGTCTCATCAGTACATCTATGTTACTGACACCAGGGTTGCTTATGTAAATCTGTTTTGAGCACAGTGCCCTCAGATAATCTGTGATCAGTAAATTCTGGCTTAAACATGAGAGAATGGGTCTGTGTGGTGAGAGTGCACAGTATAAAAAAAAATCCTGCCCCTTGCAATGCATAATGGGAAAAGCAAAACTCTGACCATTTGTTTGGTTTAAAATAGCAACTTTGAGGTTGATTCCTAGGATGATTTTTATAGTTTTTTTTGTTGTTTCTTGATATCATTTGATATAATGGAAGACGTAGTACTGAAATCGGGCTTAAAGTTGTGAAAATATTTTATTTTTGACAATTTTTCTGAGGATGGGTAAGGCTACCAAAGCCCCCTGGTCTGTTTCTTGTGGGTTTTTGCTAGGTCTGATTTAATTATTGTGACACCATAAACCACGACCAATCATTCCTAGTTATATTTTATTATCTGAGAAATAGGGAAAATCTTTTGATTTTTTTGCGATGATGAATAGAGGCAAGTGTAAAATAGGAGAGGCCTGAAGAAGTGATTAATAAACAAAGTAAATGCTACTTCAGTGTTTATTTTAGCCTGCTTCAAGTTTTTTTTTTTAAATTTTGTTCAAAATCAACCAAATTACCAACTTTTGTGCATTTTATAAGGTAGTTCTTATAGTTGAATGGGTAGTTTCTTATGCTAAATTAACCCTTTCAGGGTCCGTCCTGTAGATCTACGGCTTTACGTTCAGGGTCCAAACCGTAGATCTACGCCATGAGCTCAGCTCACTCTGATAAACTGTGAGTGGTACATTTGGGCCTAGATATGAGAGAATACATCTATGTGGTATGTGTGCACCACATAAAACAGATCCTGCAGCACACTGTGTATAATGAGAGAAAAAAAATGAAATCATGATTTTTTGATTAAAACAGCAACTTTGCAGTGTTTTTTCGTATGTTTTTTATAGTTGTATTTGCGATTTCTTGGTCTCATTTGATAGAATGGAAGACATATTACAGAAATAGAGATGATTTTGATTGGTTTTAGCACTGGAAATGGCTTGAAACTGAGCTCAAAGTAGCAGAAATGTTAAATTTTTGCCGATATTCAAGAGTAAACAAACGACCTCACACGTCTAATACACGTCAGCTGGTGGGTCTAATATACATTCACAAATATGGTGATGATATTTATACAATTATTACAGTATTGCATAACAGTAAATCTTCTATTTTTTGGTGTGAATAAAAATTCATTATGTGAATAAAAAATCAAAATGGAATTTATTTGTAAAGCCTCAAAACATAACTAATGAACAGAGGAAATATTAGTTTAGTGCAGGAATGCCTACATTGTTCATTCTGGACCCTATTTTGAAATTGGAATATTTTGAACTTTGTGTTAAATTGGCCAAATTAACAATTTCCGATCACTTTATTTTGTAGTTGTAACAGTTGACTTGGCGATTTCTTGTGCTCAATCGATAGAATAGAAGTAATACTAGTGAAATAGCTAAGAATTTGGTTGACTGGAATAATGTAATTGGCCTAAAATGGGAGTCAAAGTCGGCAAAATCGCCGATTCGTAAATATCGCTGACACATCAAAATTCGCGAGAGCATAATTTCGTCAATTTTCCACCAAATTTCGTACTTTTTGCTTTATTACCTTCACAAAATGATTCTCTACGATTTCATAAGAAAAAATAACAAATTTTTTTTTTTAAATTCTTGGACACTGGTGCGTGACTCCAGATTTGGGCCTTGGACCCTGAAAGGGTTAAGAGAACAGAAGGCATATTAGTGCATTAGCTAAGAATTTGATCAAATTGAGCAAAGAAATTTATTTAAAATAAGACCCAAAGCAGGTGAAATTGCCAATACAAATTGCACTCAGACAGCTAACTTTGCACCTGCATAATTCTGCAAGTTTTCCATAAGCTTGAGTATTTTTGGTGTCATTACCTTCAGAAAAAAATCCTCTACTTAAATGCTGGGACTTTTAACATATAAGGGTTTATGTATAAAACCTCCCTTGCCTCAGTGCTCTGTTCATATGTATCTAATACCATACCTCTGCCATATGCCTCTGCTATACTGCTTGCACCCTGCAGCACTCCCTTCAACCTCCACCCATATAACTCGCCCATACAATGTCATTTTGGTACCTTTTTTTATTGAATGAGCCTGTCAGAATATTTTTGGTTTTGTACAATTATACTTTTGTTTCACTCAAAACCCCTCTTTTGTTTTATAGATACAACCAATACTGAAATGGTTAATATAATTTAGGAAAACATACTGAAAATGATAAAAGAAAAAGGAAGATCATTGACTGAAGCAAGGAGATAAATTGTCTTACTTTAAGCCAGGAAGAAAAAAGGATGAAGGGAATCTATGCCATTCCTTTCCCAGGCAGATGTTAATTGGTCGGTCTGATGGAAAACTTTCCTCAACTGCCAAGCGGTTCAACTCCATGAAGATTTCTAAGGGTGCATGATAAGCTGCAAAACAAAAAAGAAAATGGATTTTTGAAAAAAAAAAAAAAAAAAAGGATCATAAAAAAACTGGAAGCTTAACATAGCTATTTAGTGCTCTACTAGCATATATAATAATATGCAAGATGTGTTAAAATTTAACTTTTTTAGTGGTTTAGAAAATTTTATTTAAAGACTTTTAAAAAGGGCACTTAAACTGTTTATTAATTTCACAGTGATCTGGCAGTCATACACACAAACCAATCACTACCTGCTTACACTAAAAAACAAGACTATACAAACTGCCTGAGGAATGAATAAGGAAATACAGGTGCATAATTTTTAACTCCATGCCCATCTTCCACTGAAGCAAGGCGACCCAAAGACGGGAAAACACCCACCAACATTCACTCAACTGCCATCCTTCCAGAAGTGTGCTGACATCCACGTTCAACTGCAACATCCCCACCCCATCTTTCAGAGTGCAAGTACTGCCCTACATACCTCCAGGACTCAAATTTGGCTAACCAGTTTTGCTGAATCCCTTAATGAAAGTTACCCTACTGACACTTCAATGGCACATTAAAAACCACTTATCTCCATGCACTCATACTGTAACATGCTTGCACAAGCCTGCTGGATATTCAAGCCTCAAAAACTCGAAGTCTCTTGTACCCCCCCTCTTCAACCATTTCCCTGGAATGAGATCCTCCCCTTCTATCTTCCACTCTAGATTTATACATCCTCTTCATCAACCTATCCACACACTGCCTTCAAACCTGACATCTCCACTGCTTCTAGCCTACTTCTTGCTGCAGCATTTAAAATTCATACCCTACACCCATATAAAAGTGTTGGCACCACTATATTCTGGTACATTTCCTTTTCTACCTCTATGGATAAATTTTTCTTTCTTCAGCCCACCACCCACCTTTTTTCCCCTCTCATCTTTCTTAGACCCACCTTGCTCTTTTCTATGTTCACTTTTAATTTATACATAGAGACAACAGAATGGTAAAAAAAAAAAATGGCTCTTAATATCCCGTTACCTCTGTATTGCCCAATGATGCGTGAAACACCAAGTATGGAGGTGCTAATGACAAAAGCGAGGGCAAACCAGTTGGTGTGGTTCAAATAATGTTGTCGTTTTACAGTCAAAAGTAGTGACAACAGCTTCTGACAGCAATCTGTAGCAAACAAATACGGAAGAACTCTGTTGAAGTATCCACCTCATTCTATACTAAAATCCCCATTCACCTTTCAAGGTATAATATACAATATATACAAGTATTAATTCAGATTAACTAGACCTTTGTAGCATTTATTTTAAAAAAAGGCACACAAAATAACTTCTTACCAACAGTAACAGCTCCAGCAAGACAGAAGAGAGGATACACAGGGAAGAGGAAACGCTCCTCCTTGTGTGGTTGTAACATGAAAATGGCCAACCAAAGATACATGGGAGACAAACTCAACCACAAAGGAAGATAGACATTGCTCTTCTTTGGTAGTTGCACCACATACTGCACAATACCCTACATGTGAAATTGGAAGACAAGTTTAACAAAGTATGGAAAAATATGGCTTTCTAATTGTTGTCAGCTGGCACTAAACGTTTTACACATACTGTGACAAGATAATAGAGCAAAATAGGTTGATAAAGCGCATAAACCATTGGTGGATGGAAGGAGGTAAAAGAACCCTCAAGGAAAAGGTTATGAGGGTGTGAAAAGTAGTATCTAGATATACTGTACAGGCTGAATATCTGGTATATATGCGAGTGTGTTACATCAGTGAAAGTAAAAGAGAATGGTCTAGAAAATTTGTCATAGTGTTGAAGTTCAAGTTAAGTAGAATCTATGAAGGAACTTTGGGAAGACCAGCTAAAATTTTTCTTAACAATCCAAAAGTTTGAATAATAATAAAATGTGTGCTATGACTAATTTATATAATTTTAAATGGTTTCTTTATGAACTTACATAAACAGGGAGTGAAGCTAATGCTGCTAAAAATATGATATTGAAGTTGAGAAAACCATTGAAGATATAGAAAGTCCATGGCTCTGTGCCATACAAATCTGGTCCATGTGAAGTAAAAATGTTGTACATCACAATATTGACTGGAGCAATTACTAGACATCCAAAGTACTGGGAATCAATCTGAACCATGGGTACCTGAAACAAAAATTGTGAAATCAAATTTTTCTAACTATGTTCTTGCAACCCAAATACCCTCTTTATTATAATAAAGGTTATATTAACAATTAACTTCACAATAAAACCTTAATAATAATGCTTATATTTCTCTAATACATTTTAGTTAACACCTTTTTCAAGCACTCCTACACATTTAATATCACTGCTTTCCAACTGCAAAAAATAAATGCTGTTCTTGTGTCCAATTCACCTCATTATTTATTAACCTGTGAACGGTCCAAGCAGATCTATGTTCACATGTGTAGTGCTACAAAAGTAGATCTACGTTTTTTTTACATATTTTCAAATATAACAAAAAAAAAAAGTAAATCAAAGTTTTTTACACATTTTCAAATGTAAAAAACAAAAAGATCTACTTGTTTTACATACTTTCAAATGTTGAAAAAACGTATATATACGTTTGGACCGTTTATGGGTTAACTAGTTTAAGAAAGGCAACTTAAAAATCTACTCTGAACAGTAGTTGTATTTATACTATTTTAACCTTCCACTTATAAACATAAACCTTGTTACAGAAGTTGCAACAAGATCAGTATATCGTCCAACCCTGTCGTTTTGTTTTAAATTACTGTAGCATTTGTCGTGCAGACACTGTTCATTTCTCCCCCCCCCCCTCTCCAAAAAAAAAAAAAAGGTACAAATAACACTCTATATCTTATACAGGCCATGTAAAATTGACAGTAGTATAATACCTATGTGATAATGTATGCTAAATACTTTTTCCACCAAAACTCCTCTTTTAACCTTTTCAGGGTACGTCCCGTAGATCTACGGCTTTATGTTCAGGGTCCAAACCATAGATCTACGCCATGAGCTCAGCTCACTCTGATAAGCTGTGAGTGGTAAATTTGGGCTTTGATATGAGAGAATACATCTATGTGGTATGTGTGCACCACATAAAATAAATCATGCAGCACAGTGTATGAGAAAAAAAACTGAGACCATGATTTTCGATTAAAACAGCGATTTTGCAGTGTTTTTTTGTATGTTTGTTATAATTGTATTTGCGATTTCTTGTCTCATTTGATAGAATGGAAGACATATTATGGAAATAGAGATGATTTTGATTGGTTTTAGCACTGGAAATGGCTTGAAACTGAGCTCAAAGTAGCGGACATGTTAAATTTTTGCCGATGTTCAAGAGTAAACAAACAACCTCACATGTCTAATACATGCCAGATGGTGAGTCTAATATACATTCACAAATGTGGTGATGATATTTATACAATTATTACAATATTGCATAACAGTAAATCTTCTATTTTTTGGTTTGAATAAAAATTCATTATGTGAACAAAAAATCAAAATGGAATTCATTTGTAAAGCCTCAAAACATAACTAATGAACAGAGGAAATGTTAGTTTAGTGCCAGGAATACCTACATTGTTTATTCTGGACCCTATTTTAAAATTGGAATATTTTGAACTTTGCGTTAAATTGGCCAAATTACCAATTTCCGATCACTTTATTTTGTAGTTGAAACAGATGACTTGGTGATTTCTTGTGCTCGATAGAAGAGAAGTAATACTAGTGAAATAGCTAAGAATTTGGTCAACTGGAATAATGTAATTGGCCTAAAATGGGAGTCAAAGTCGGCAAAATTGCCGATTCGTAAATATCGTTGACGCATCAAAATTCGCGAGAGCATAATTTCGTCAATTTTCCATCAAATTTCGTACTTTTTGTTTTATTACCATCAGAAAAAGATTTTCTACCATTTCATAGGAAAAAATAACAATTTTTTTTTTTGAAAATTCTTGGACACTGGTTGCACCCTTCGAAATTTGGCCTCTGGACCCTGAAAGGGTTAAATTAGGGTGGCCCAAATAACAAGGTTTTTATTTTATGACTGAAAATACAGCAATTAAAACCCAAATATTTTCCTGTTTAAAAAGAAAAACTTTCAAACTACAGTGAACTCTTGGCCACTTGCATGTCAGTCTGGCTGTGTCTTTGGGCGAATGAGGAAGCTTCTGCTCATTCATCCAAACATTTTGCTATAATCCATTGTTTTTGGTGGTTATTTATTAAGTGCAACTGTGATATAAGTAACCATGGCCCCAAAGAAAATTCCTAGTAAAGTTCCTTTGGTAAAGAAAGTGAAAAACACGATGGAATTTAAGAAAGAAATTGTAGCAAAGTACAAGAGTGGTGGTGGTAGAGGGTGGTTGTGATGGTGGTAGATTGTGGTTGTGATGGTGGTAGAGGGTGGTTGTGATGGTGGAAGAGGGTGGTTGGGATGGTGGAGAGGGTGGTTGGGTTGGTGGTAGAGGGTGGTTGGGTTGGTGGTAGAGGAAGGTTGGGATGGTGGTAGAGGGTGGTTGTGATGGTGGTTGGGATGGTGGTAGAGGGTGGTTGGGTTGGTGGTAGAGGAAGGTTGGGATGGTGGTAGAGGGTGGTTGGGATGGTGGTAGAGGGTGGTTGGGATGGTGGTAGAGGGTGGTTGGGTTGGTGGTAGAGGGAGGTTGGGATGGTGGTTGGGATGGTGGTAGAGGGTAGTTGTGATGGTGGTAGTGATGGTGGTAGAGGGTGGTAGTGATGGTGGTAGAGGATGATAATGATGGTGGTAGAGGATGGTAGTAATGGTGGTAGAGGATGGTAGTAATGGTGGTAGAGGATGGTAGTAATGGTGGTAGAGGGTGGTAGTGATGGTGGTAGTGGTTGTGATGGTGGCAGAGGGTGGTAGTGGTGATGGTAGAGGGTGGCAGAGATGGTGGTAGAGGATAGAGGTGCAAGACCTTCATCTGGAACAGCAACAGACCACAGCTGAGGAAATTACTTCAGAGGAGGAGGAAGAGAGAGGGGAGAATGTGCCTTCTTCAGTGATTAATGACGTGTGCAAAGCAGAGTGAGTTGCAGGGGTACAGTGACTCTCAAGCCTCTCTCCTCCTCTCTATCTTCCATAAGCCAAGAAGAGTCTTCAATGAAGGTATGTAATGCTGATTTAATTGCTCATGTATTTATTTTATCCTAGGTAGTAGGTTGGTAGACAGCAACCGCCCAGGGAGGTACTACCGCCCTGCCAAGTGAGTGTAAAACGAAAGCCTGTAATTATTTTACATGATGGTAGGATTGCTGGTGTCTTTTGTCTGTCTCATAAACATGCAAGATTTCAGGTATGTCTTGCTACTTCTACTTACACTTAGGTCACACTACACATACATGTACAAGCATATATATACACACACACCCCTCTGGGTTTTCTTCTATTTTCTTTCTAGTTCTTGTTCTTGTTTATTTCCTCTTACCTCCATGGGGAAGTGGAATAGAATTCTTCCTCTGTAAGCCATGCGTGTTGTAAGAGGAGACTAAAATGCCGGGAGCAAGGGGCTAGTAACCCCTTCTCCTGTATATATTACTAAATATAAAAGGAGAAACTTTTGTTTTTTCTTTTGGGCCACCCTGCCTCAGTGGGATACGGTCGGTGTGCTGAAAGTATTTATTTTATTTAGTTCTCATTGTTTTGTGTATGTAAAACTATGAAATGATAGAGAATCTTTTCCTGATGGTAATGACACCAAAAGAACGAAATTAGATGGAAAACTTATGGAATTACACTCTCATGAAGTTAGCAACCTCGGCAATATTTACGAATCAGCGATTTCGCCCACTTTGAGCCCTATTTTCGGCTAATTCCACTGTTCCAGTCGACCAAACTCATAGCCATTTCTTTAGAACTCCATTTGTTCTATCGATTGAGTACAAGAAACTGCCCATTTACCGATTTCAACTACCCAATAATGTGGTCAGAAATTTGCAATTTGACCAATTTCACGAAAATTAAAAAATATGACAATTTCAAAATAGGGTCCAGAATGAACAATGTAGACATTCCTGGCTCTAAAATAACATTTTCTTTGTTCATCAGTCACGTCTCCAGGCCCCCTCTCATATTACTCTTGCTTTCTATTTTGAATTTTTATGCAAACAAAAAATAGAAGATTTGCTGTTATGCAGACTACTGAAATATTGTAATAATTGTATAAATAATGTCAACCCATTCGTGACTGCATATTAGAATGGCTAGTTGGACATTTATTGGACAATGACATCATTTGTTTACTTTTAAACATCGACAAAAATCAAACATTTCCCCTACTTTGAGCTCCATTTCAAGGTTCGTTTCATAGTAAAACCAATCAAAATCACCTCTATTTCTATAATATGTTTTCCATTCTATCAAATGAGACCAAGAAAACGAGACTACAACAATAAATACTATACGAAAATACACCACAGAGTCGGCGTTAAAAAAAAAAAAAAGTTTTTTTCTCATTATGCACTGCGTGCTGAAGGATTTTTTTTATATGGTGCACACTGACCACACAGACCCATTCTCTCACATGTGGGCCTACCAGCTTTCTCCTGCTTGATTTGAAGCCGCTAGAATTTTTGAGTATATATACGTCAAACATGGTGGATCATAAGACATATACATACGACTATCAGAGCCACCAATGCTCCTATCATGACCTAGTTACAAGCAAAACTGCACTACCCAATGTAGTACCCAGAATGACCAAAGATTACCAACAGTGAAACCTACAAATCGAAAATAATAGAGATCAAAGGAAGACTGCCCTCAAACGCAAAGCAACACCCCACTGCCAGCCGAACAACGTAACCCTAAGCTTTGTATAACTACAACTTCTTAACTACAACAATTCCTGTAGTATTATGAGGCACAATCTTGGAGGAAACAGCACCAAGGCCAGCAAGAAAACACCGAAAAATCAACTATTCAACAAGTGTAGCCAGGAGGATGCCGGCCCAGCAACCACCCCTCTCACCACCACTCAAGGCGACACCACAGCAATAACAACAAACATGGCTGCCCCCAGCCCATCCACCCCTCTCTTCCCCGGATTCAACCTACCAAGTAGTCTCTCAGGTGTGACCAACGATCCAGATACCCTAAAGTCGTGCATCTCCACCTTAGTTATTGAAAATATGAATCTTCGAGAGACTCTAACAAAACAAGACACCAGGATGACACAACTCGAGAACAAAATCCTCAGTCTTGAACAAAAGTTATCAACACCAGGAATGACTATGGCAAAACCATCCAAACAGTCATAGATAGCCATACAGAACAAATAAAATCTCTTAATACAAAGGTTGAAGAAGCAGTAAAAGAATGGAAGAACAACTTAGATAACCAGTTCAGTGACTTTGCTCTCCAAGAAGATAAAACTGAGCAAGATAAACTATCGGACGCAGTAATAGTTAACAGTCCACTTTTTCCCAGTGATATGAGCCAAATGAACAGTAAAGAAATTACTCTCCAGATCATAAAGGACCAAACAAAAGTTACAGTACCAGAGTCATAAATAAAGGAAGCCAGGTTACTAGGATCCCATGGAAGAAAAAGTGTTATGCTTAGATTCCACTCACATGACAGGAAAAAAGACTTAATAATTGCATCTATTAAAGTAAAGAAAGAGGTATTCATAAACGAGTGTCTTACCAAAAAACGTCAGAACCTCCTGTATAGTCATAAAACTTAAGCAGGAGAATAATGACACAATACACCAATGCTTCACACGGGATGGGAAAATTCTAGTTAGGAAAACAAATGTAGGTCAACTGTACACAATCACAAACGAGAATGATCTATCACGATTTCTCAGGGATACTAATCTTACAGAGAATAACTAAACAATGTCCAACCTAAAAGCCTACGTAGTGTAGTGTACGTTTTGCTCCATTATTGTTCAAATTTCATAGTACAATCTTTAAGTAATTAAATAATCAACTACCTCATTATGTGATTTTACTAGTAAGCATAAGTCACCTTATGTAATTTTCTTATTTACTATTATTATTATATTATATTATCACACTGGCCGATTCCCACCAAGGCAGGGTGGCCCGAAAAAGAAAAACTTTCACCATCATTCACTCCATCACTGTCTTGCCAGAAGGGTGTTTTACACTATAGTTTTTAAACTGCAACATTAACACCCCTCCTTCAGAGTGCAGGCACTGTACTTCCCATCTCCAGGACTCAAGTCCGGCCTGCCGGTTTCCCTGAACCCATTCATAAATGTTACTTTGCTCACACTCCAACAGCACGTCAAGTATTAAAAACCATTTGTCTCCATTCACTCCTATCAAACACGCTCACGCGTGCCTGCTGGAAGTCTAAGCCCCTCGCACACAAAACCTTCTTTACCCCCTCCCTCCAACCTTTCCTAGGCCGACCCCTACCCCGCCTTCCTTCCACTACAGACTGATACACTCTTGAAGTCACTCTGTTTCGCTCCATTCTCTCTACATGTCCGAACCACCTCAACAACCCTTCCTCAGCCCTCTGGACAACAGTTTTGGTAATCCCGCACCTCCTCCTAACTTCCAAACTATGAACTCTCTGCATTATATTCACACCACACATTGCCCTCAGACATGACATCTCCACTGCCTCCAGCCTTCTCCTCGCTGCAACATTCATCACCCATGCTTCACACCCATATAAGAGCGTTGGTAAAACTATACTCTCATACATTCCCCTCTTTGCCTCCAAGGACAAAGTTCTTAGTCTTCACAGACTCCTAAGTGCACCACTCACCCTTTTCCCCTCATCAATTCTATGATTCACCTCATCTTTCATAGACCCATCCGCTGACACGTCCACTCCCAAATATCTGAATACATTCACCTCCTCCATACTCTCTCCCTCCAATCTGATATCCAATCTTTCATCACCTAATCTTTTTGTTATCCTCATAACCTTACTCTTTCCTGTATTCACTTTTAATTTTCTTCTTTTGCACACCCTACCAAATTCATCCACCAATCTTTGCAACTTCTCTTCAGAATCTCCCAAGAGCACAGTGTCATCAGCAAAGAGCAACTGTGACAACTCCCACTTTGTGTGTTTAACTCCACGCCTCTTGCCAAGACCCTCGCATTTACTTCTCTTACAACCCCATCTATAAATACAGTGGACCCCCGGTTAACGATATTTTTTCATTCCAGAAGTATGTTCAGGTGCCAGTACTGACCGAATTTGTTCCCATAAGGAATATTGTGAAGTAGATTAGTCCATTTCAGACCCCCAAACATACACGTACAAACGCACTTACATAAATACACTTACATAATTGGTCACATTCAGTGGTGATCGTTATGCGGGGGTCCACTGTATATTAAACAACCACGGTGACATCACACATTCTTGTCTAAGGCCTACATTTACTGGGAAATAATTTCCCTCTTTCCTACATACTCTAACTTGAGCCTCACTATCCTCGTAAAAACTCTTCACTGCTTTCAGTAACCTACCTCCTACACCATACACCTGCAACATCTGCCACATTGCCCCCCTATCCACCCTGTCATATGCCTTTTCCAAATAGATAAATGCCACAAAGACCTCTTTAGCCTTATCTAAATACTGTTCACTTATATGTTTCACTGTAAACACCTGGTCCACACACCCCCTACCTTTCCTAAAGCCTCCTTGTTCATCTATCCTATTCTCCGTCTTACTCTTAATTCTTTCAATAATAACTCTACCATACACTTTACCAAGTATACTCAACAGACTTATCCCCCTATAATTTTTGCACTCTCTTTTGTCCTCTTTGCCTTTATACAAAGGAACTATGCATGCTCTCTGCCAATCCCAAGGTACCTTACCCTCTTCCATACATTTATTAAATAACTGCACCAACCACTCCAAAACTATATCCCCACCTGCTTTTAACATTTCTATCTTTATCCCATCAATCCCGGCTGCCTTACCCCCTTTCATTTTACCTACTGCCTCACGAACTTTCCCCACACTCACAACTGGCTCTTCCTCACTCCTACAAGATGTTATTCCTCCTTGCCCTATACACGAAATCACAGCTTCCCTATCTTCATCAACATTTAACAATTCCTCAAAATATTCCCTCCATCTTCCCAATACCTCTAACTCTCCATTTAATAACTCTCCTCTCCTATTTTTAACTGACAAATCCATTTGTTCTCTAGGCTTCCTTAACTTGTTAATCTCACTCCAAAACTTTTTCTTATTTTCAACAAAATTTGTTGATAACATCTCACCCACTCTCTCATTTGCTCTCTTTTTACATTGCTTCACCACTCTCTTAACCTCTCTCTTTTTCTCCATATACTCTTCCCTCCTTGCATCACTTCTACTTTGTAAAAACTTCTCATATGCTAACTTTTTTCTCCCTTACTACTCTCTTTACATCATCATTCCACAATCGCTCCTCTTCCCTCCCGCACCCACTTTCCTGTAACCACAAACTTCTGCTGAACACTCTAACACTACATTTTTAAACCTACCCCATACCTCTTCGACCCCATTTCCTATGCTCTCATTAGCCCATCTATCCTCCAATAGCTGTTTATATCTTACTCTAACTGCCTCCTCTTTTAGTTTATAAACCTTCACCTCTCTCTTCCCTGATGCTTCTATTCTCCTTGTATCCCATCTACCTTTTACTCTCAGTGTAGCTACAACTAGAAAGTGATCTGATATATCTGTGGCCCCTCTATAAACATGTACATCCTGAAGTCTACTCAACAGTCTTTTATCTACCAATACATAATCCAACAAACTACTATCATTTCGCCCTACATCATATCTTGTATACTTATTTATCCTCTTTTTCTTAAAATATGTATTACCTATATCTAAACCCCTTTCTATACAACGTTCAATCAAAGGGCTCCCATTATCATTTACACCTGGCACCCGAAACTTACCTACCACACCCTCTCTAAAAGTTTCTCCTACTTTAGCATTCAGATCCCCTACCACAATCACTCTCTCACTTGGTTCAAAGGCTCCTATACATTCACTTAACATCTCCCAAAATCTCTCTCTCTCCTCTACATTCCTCTCTTCTCCAGGTGCATACACGCTTATTATGACCCACTTTTCGCATCCAACCTTTACTTTAATCCACATAATTCTTGAATTTACACTTTCATATTCTCTTTTCTCCTTTCATAACTGATCCTTCAACATTACTGCTACCCCTTCCTTTGCTCTAACTCTCTAAGATACTCCAGATTTAATCCCATTTATTTCCCCCCACCGAAACTCCCCTACCCCCTTCAGCTTTGTTTCGCTTAGGGCCAGGACATCCAACTTCTTTTCATTCATAACATCAGCAATCATCTGCTTCTTGTCATCCATACTACATCCACGCACATTCAAGCATCCCAGTTTTATAAAGTTTTTCTTCTTCTCTTTTTTAGTAAATTGTCTACAGGAGAAGGGGTTACTAGCCCATTGCTCCCGGCATTTTAGTCGCCTCATATGACACGCATGGCTTACGGAGGAAAGATTCTTTTCCACTTCCCCATGGACAATAGAAGAAATAAAGAAGAACAAGAGCTATTTAGAAAAAGGAGAAAAACCTAGATGTATGTATATATATATGCATGTGCATGTCTGTGAAGTGTGACCAAAGTGTAAGTAGGAGTAGCAAGATATCCCTGTTATCTAGCGTGTTTATGAGGGAAAAAGAAACCAGCAATCCTACCATCATGCAAAACAGTTACAGGTTTCTGTTTCACAGTCATCTGGCAGGACGGTAGTACTTCCCTGGGTGGTTGCTGTCTACCAACCTACTACCTATTACTATTGTTTGCTTAAATATTAGCTGAACTGATACTTTCTGTCCATATTACTACCTCATATTTTTTTAAATACTATTAATTGATATTACTTACTAAAATTAATAATTAATTACCATTTTTACTATCATTACAATTTACTCTTAACATTTTTGACATCATTTAATTACCATTACTTGTCTAATTACCATAACCTGTTTTAATACCACATTTACTATCTTAGAGTACTCTTAAATACCTTGTACTGCCAAATAACCTCTAGTATAACTACCAGTGCAATATTGAATCCAAATAACTGTTCTTAAAATTTAATACTTTAAATAAACATTACTTTTTTTGTTAATGTTGCAGTTTAAAAACTGTAGTGTAAAGCACCCTTCTGGCAAGACAGTGATGGAGTGAATGATGGTGAAAGTTTTTCTTTTTCGGGCCACCCTGCCTTGGTGGGAATCGGCCAGTGTGATAATAAATAAAAATAAATAAATATTACTTACTAAAATTTTATTAAACACCATATTTACTACCAGTCAATTTTACTTTTGTAAATTAATCATTATTTTATACTTTTCATAACATTTTGTTGCCAAATTTTCAAGTTAGTATATTCAACTCCAACCTTTATATTATCCTTTGTACCTGTGTACCTGTCTACCATCTTACTATCATATTATAACCAAGTCATTGCCATTGTTATTTTTTACTTATTATTTTTTTTGGGGTACTTTAATTTGTAAATTTTTTTTTGGTCAATTTAAATCTATTTATACTCTTGATTTTGGGTTAAAATTATATAAAGGACCTAGTGAAATTGAAGTATCCCTTTTTAATTTGTATTTTTTTATTATAAGTTTATACCTGTTGTACTTTGCTCATTCTAGCTCAATACTAGACAACACTAAATTCTTTTTTAGCCCTTAGTGAAAATTACAAGAGTGAGTCTGGTCCCCACTTGTAATTTGTTTGTTTTTTTACAGTATTAGTTTATATTTTGTTTTTACTTTAGCTCTTTTCTAGCACAAAAACAATGACAATATCAATTTCATTATGTTTTTATTTGACTAAAATCTATATGCCCAAAGTCCCTTTAGCTTTTTATACTTTTTCCAAACCCCCCAAACCATCAGAAAATCAGTATTAAAACCCTCACCATTAATACAGGATATAAAAAACCCCACTTTTTAAAACCCAAAAAAAGATGAATGATCACTTTTGCCCCTAAAATCTAAACCTCCAAAATCAAAACCACAACCCAAAAACTTTTTGGGAAAAGTAAAACTGCCTTTATTAACAGATCACAAGCCAGCACTTTTTTAAAACTGCCTAAAAGTCTACAGTTTTTTAAACCCTACAACATCAGGCCCTTTTAAGCAAACACTATGAGGGACCTCCTGGCACTCCTTTTGGTCACTAAAAAACCCCTTCTCCGGGCATTATTTTTACTGAGCCCCTGGCTTAAGCATGCCCAATTGTTATTACCCTACCGGTACCGCAATTCAAAAACTGCAGCCATCCCAAAGTTCGGGGGGGGGTACTGCAATCATTATTAAACCCAAACATCTTGTATTAGCAAAAACCCCTTGCTTTAGTGATGAATAGGGGGGGAATTACATTTTTGCTAATTTTACTGAAAAAAACCTCAAACCCCTATAACAATCGGTGCCATTAAGAAAACCCCAAAACAAACTTTCCCAAAAACTTCAGAGAAAATCTAAATCACAAATAACAAACGGGACAAAGGGGAAAAAGCACCACCTTTTTAGCTGGGATTTTTATAAACTTGGCCTACCAGATGTTTCACCCTGAAAATGATTTCTCAACAATATGAACAACCACTCCTATACCAACAATAACAAAAACCAAACCGGGTTTTTCCCCAAGGCCCCTTTAATACCCCCAATTAGGGGACCAATATACTACCCCCCCTTAAACCCGGGATAATCACAGACATTACTACTGCCCACTCCCCAAACCTTCCTCTTAAAAAAACATTAGTAAGCCACCACTCGAATACAACAAAGTTTCATTTTTGACCAGACGAGGCCCCCAATAAGGAATTTCACAAACAGACCCAGGACTGTTGTTTGGCCCACAGAAATTCCCCAAAGCCCAAAGGTAGGCGTTGGCCCGGGAAATTTTTTTTAACAAAAAACTTGATATACAACAAACATTGTCCTATAAAAACGAAAAAAAAAATACGAAAAAACGGGTTGGTTGCCCATGGTAACCAGCAGGGATTCTGGGAAAACCCAAAATTTATTTAAAAAACGCCAAAATTTTAAAAAGCAATATAGACAGGGCTTAATACACAAAAGAAAATTCTTAAAAAAAAAAGATTAGGTTTATGAAAAGGATTGAATTTTCCAAAAATTGGAGGAAGAAAATATTGGAGGAAGGGGAACCCCCTTTTAAAAAATATTTATAAAGGGACATGGGCCCATGTAAGTTAGGTAATCTTTTTTCCCCGGGGGAAAAAAGGGGAATTCACCGGTTTTAGACCTGGAAAATTTGCCTTAAAAGAGGGGAAAGTAGGATAAAACCCCAAACCCCAAGGGGGGGGAACCCCTGGGTCATTATGA